CAAAAAAAAAAAAAAAAAAAAAAGAAAGAAAAAAAAAGAAATCAAATATGTTATATGTTTATTTGTTTGATTACAAGTACAGTTTATATTTCCCATTTTTTAAGGCACTACAGCTTGAAGCTCAGAGGTAGCTCCAGTGGTGCAGTAACTCGTCTTTCTTATCCTCTCACTCTATAACTAATTCTGTCTCTATATTCTTCTCTTTCTCTATTGTGCATTCTTTTTTTTATCCAATCTGCTTAGCCTAGTTTTTTTATTGTTTTGTTGTTATTGTTGTTCTTTTGAGTCGGAGTCTCACATCTCACTCTGTCGCCCAGGCTGGAGTGCAGTGGCACACTCACTGCCATCACAGCCTCAACTTAGTGGACTCAAGCTATCCTTCTGGCTCAGCCTTCCAAGTAGCTGGAACCACAGGTGTGCACCACCACACCTGGCTACTTTTTAAATTTATTGTAGAGACTAGGTATGCCAAGTTGCCCAAGCTAGTCTTGAACCCCTGGGCTCAGGCAATCCTCTCATCTCTGCCTCCCAAAGTGCTGGGATTACAGTTGTAAGCCACTGTGCCCCCACCTAGCCTAGTTTTTAACCTTAACTTAGTCCTAGTTTAACCTGTCTATGTTCTGGGACCTAAATATATCTCCGTCATTATTCCCTTCTATGAGTCCTATAATCAGCAAATTACTATTTATCATCTCCCAATTTATGTCTTCACCTGGGATCCCAACGCTTTCCATTCTCTGTCTCAGTACTACCTTTATTTTTTATTTATTTATTTTTTAGTTGGAGTCTTACTCTGTCGCCCAGACTGGAGTGCAACGGCCACTCTTGGCCACTGCAGCCTCGACCCACTGGCCTCTGGCGATCCTTCAGCCTCAGCCTTCCGAGTAGCTGGAACTACAGGCACGCGCTACCATGCCTGGCTAGTTTTTTTTATTTATTGTAGAAATGAGGTCTCGCCAAGTTGCCCAGGCGGGTCTCGAACCCGCAGGCTCAGGCAATCCACTCACCTCGTCCTCCCAAAGCACTGGGATTACAGGCTGAGCCACCGAGCCCGGCCTCAGTACTACCTTTAAAGACCACCTTAAATTCCAGTCTTCTTTTCTTTCCCAGTCCAATGTAAGTAAGATTTCCTTGAATGACTTATTTAGCACTTACATTCCTAGGCTATGTTATTTATAATTTTATATATATATATATTCTCTCTTCCCGGCTTGATTTAGCACTCAGTTAAAGCACCAATTCTCCGTCTTTCTTGGTCCACAGTCTGTCCTGACTCTGGGCTCCCACAACATTCTGTACATGTGTGTACCCTGGCTTTTGAGCCTGCGGGTTCGAGACCCACCTGGGCAACTTGGCATCTCATCTCTACAATAAATCAAAAAATTAGCCGGGCATGGTAGCGTGCGCCTGTAGTTCCAGCTACTTGGAAGGCTGAGGCAGAAGGATCGCCGCAGCCCAGCAGGTGGAGGCTGCGGTGGCCGGGAGCGGTCACTGCACTCCAGTCTGGGCGACAGAATGAAATTCCAACTCAAAAAAAAAAAAAAAAAAAAAAGATGGCAATACTACCCAAAGCAATCTTTAGATTCAATGAAATTCATACTAAAATTTCAATAACCTTTTATGTAGCAATGGAAAAGCTAGGATTTACATGGAATTGCAAGAAACCCTGAATAAACAAAATAATCTTGGAAAAGAGTAATGAAGCACTCTGTTTTTTCTCAAAGCTACAATAATCAAAACAGTGTGGTATATTATTCAGTTATAAAAAGGAATAAAATAATGATACATGCTGCAAGATGGATGAACTTCAAAAACATTATGCTAATTTAAAGGAACCATACACAAACAACTACAAATTGCATGATTCAATTTGTATAAAATATTCAGAATAGGTAAATCCAGCAATAGAAAGTGGTTGCTAGAAATTGGGGGGGAGGACATTGCTTTGTTCAACTCGTGTGTCCACATGGCTCTTGGAGCTATGGCTACCATGTTTCTTAGCTTTGACCCCCTCCCCTACCTTGGGAAGGTGAATCTCCTCTCTCTCCTCCCTAAAACTTACTTTCTAAATAAACTGTATTTTCCAATCTAAAAAAAAAGAAACTGGGGGGAGGAGTGAATGGGGAGTGATTACTTAATGGAGGTTTCTTCTTGGGGTAATGAAAATGTTTTGGAGCCGGGCATGGTGGCTTATGCCTGTAAACCCAGCACTTTGGGAGGCAGAGGAGAGAGGATAGC